AAGGCACCAAAGCCATGTTTCTTCGTTGTCTATGGTTAATACTGACTTTATTCCCACTCTACTATTTGAAATGGATTGCTTGTCCTCCAAGAATGGAAATATTCTACCCCAACAGGAACATATGCAGTAACCTGACCTGTATCTTGTGCCCATAAACAAATACTCCTTATTCTGGAGGCATTCACATCTCCAACTTCTAAACTTTGAAAGCACATGCTCTCATTTCCAAGCCCACTCCCACCTCCAAATCCTCTGGAGCACACAACCTATGTAGCATCGCCAACTATGGGGCCCATATAACCCAGGAACCACCTCAGTGGAGAGTATGTATCTCTCACTCCTAACATCCTCATTCCTTCAGGGGTAATATATATGGAGCTTCCTTTGAAGAAGAGACCATGATAATCCTAGTTGGTTTTGTCAGTGGGTAGAGCAACTGCCTGTGAACTGAAGGGTTCCAGGTTTGATTCTAGTCAAGGGCACATGCCTAGGTTGTGGGCTCAATACCCAGTGTGTGTGTGTGTGTGTGTGTGGCGGAGGCAGCCGATCAATGATTCTCTCTCATCATTGATGATTCTATCTCTCCCTCTCCCTTCCTCTCTGAAATCAATAAAATATATATTTAAAAAAAAAAAAAAGAAGAGGACATGATGTGCTCAAATTTAGGATTTGCAAAAGATGGCTCTCTTGCCCTACTCTGGTAATATTCCTCAGGTTCTGACTGCTCTGCTTTCTCCTCTTTGGGGCCCCTGGCGAATGAGATTGTCTTCCAGGGTTATATCTAGCATGGAGAAAACAGCAGCTGTGAAATCTCAAGATCTTACTCAGCACTGAGTTCATCCTGAAGGTGGGAGCTCACTGAATCACTGACACCTATTGCCTAGGACCTCTCCTTCTCCAGCTCTGTCCTAAGGTTGGGATTGGATCATTGTTGAGCCTCCCTTTTGATCTTTGCCCCAGTCACCCATTTTCTTCCCCTTCTGATGTTTATTGTTGTCTTACCTAGCTAGCTTACTTTAGTTAACCTTGTACTTTCTTGGGAAACAGCCAAGATAGGTAGGTTGTAGCTAAGTGCTCCTTCCAACTGCATAAGGGGTCCTGGCATTAGAAGTGAGATGGAGAGGCTGTGTAGTGCCCACCTCCCACCCTGCTGCTGGGAAAAGAAGCTGAACTCTGTAGGAATGCCCTAGTGCAAGGCTGGTCCCCTTTCCCACCCCCATCTCACCTCCCCCAGGCAGCTGGGAACAGCCTCTCCCTTTGTCTGAGCTTCTTGTCCGGAATAATCCTCCTCTGGACAATGTGTTCTCTGTGCCCTGTGGACACAGGAGCCGTATGAGCTGATCCCAGCACCAGGCAGGACGGAGGCTGAATCCTTCCAAACGCCCACCCTGGGTCAACTCCTGAGTACTGTCCAGAGAAACTACTGAAGGATGTACATTTTCTTTCATCTGCTTCAGATTTGGGGGGATAACTTACTGAATTTTAGCAACAGGCCAGAAGTAGGGCCAGGGGCTTTGGTCCCCCCCCCACCCTTTTTTTAATCAGTCCTGACAGTTCATTGTGCCTAACTGGGGAGGCTTGATATGACTCTGGCCTTACAGCCTTGAACACATAGGGGCTAACATTTGGAAGGGATTTGCCACCCTGTATGGCTACAAGCCTGTACAGCATGTTACTATACTAAATATGGTAGGCACTTGTATCTAAACATAGAAAAGGCACAGTAAAAATAGTATAAAAAATGTATAGGGCACTTATCATGAATGGAGCTTGGATTTGCTGAGTGAGTCAGTGAGTGAGTGGCGAGTGAATGTGAAGGCCTAGACCCTAGGACCTGGCTGTGCACTACTGTAGACTTTACCAACACTGGGCACTAGCATCACCACAAGCACACGAGTAATGCATTGTACCACGACATGATGGCTGTGACATCACTAGGCAAAGGGAGGTTTTCAGCGCTATTAATCTTATGGGACCATCGTTGTATATGCAGTCTGTTTACCAAAATGTCGTGTGGCGCATGACTGTAATCTGAAGGGCTTCAGAGTAAGCCACCAGATTCCCTAGGGATCTTTATTTTATTTTTATTTTTTTGCCATTACATTTACTTCACTGGAAAAGTTTGGAAAACAGCTTAGATTTCTTAGAAAGGCAAATAAGATTCTGTGTGATCTAGCCCCTGACTTATTTTCTGTATTATCCTATCACTCACTCTATTCCCCAGGTATACAGACTTTTTTCAGCCTCCATTTCTTTAAAATTAAAATGTCTTTATTGATATCAGAGAGAGGAAGGGAGAGAGAGAAACATCAGTAATGAGAGAGAATCATCCATCGGCTGCTTCCTGCACGCCCCCTCCTGAGGATCAAGCCTGCAACCCCAGCACGTGCCCTGACTAGCAATCGAATTTTGACCTCCTGGTTCATGGGTCAATGCTCAACCACTGAGTGACATCGGCCGGTCCAGCCTTCATTTCTTTATTCCCACTGGTCCCTCCACATGGAACACTTTGCCCCATCATTCTGTCTGATGAATACCCACTCATCCTTCAAAATTCAGCTCATGAGTCATTCCTCTGTGAACCTTTCCAACAACCCAATCTGTCCTCAATTCCTTGCCACTCCCACTGGTAAGGTCAATTACCTCCTCTTTTATGCTCCACATTTGTACCTTGTACATACTAAGTCTAGCTCTTGCTGCCCTTTACTGTCCCCCAAGTTCAAGCACATTAAACTTTCAGGGTTTGAATCCCAGTTTTTCCACCTAGGAATTGTGTGATCTTTGGCAAGACAATGTGTCTTGTATTACAGCATCTGTAATGTAGCATTTGGGGTAAAAG